ATTGTTGTTATCTTTCTGTGTGCTTTACCAAGTCTGGGTTATGTCATTATCTGGTTTAACATCTGGTAAACCTTTCTGAGCTGGAAACACATGGGCTCCTGCAGTTCTGAAACCCTTTATAGCCACACATTTTCTCTCCCTCGTTCTTACTTGTAGTCTGTAATTAAGTGGGTGTTGGGGCTTCTCAATTTATCTCCCATGTCTCAATATATCTTCCATATTTTCAATCTCTTTTTCGGTGGTGAATTTTAAGTAAACTCCTCAATTCTTTTTTCATATCATTAATCTTTCTCTTTGGTCATGTTCAGATCACTAGTTATCTTGTCTACTTGGTTTTTTATAACAGAATCTGCATTTTTTACTTTTATGTTCATATATATGTTTTATATATATACACACATATTGCTTCTGTATGATTACCAATTGTTCTAATTGTGGAAATAGTCTTTCATTTCAGGGAAAATATGAAATGTTTATATATTTTCTTTAAATTACGGCCTTATTTTTATCCATGGAGTTGAAATCCATCCATATCTAGAATGTTCTGCCTTCCCCAAAGGAATATTTCCTCTATTCATTTGCCATTTCCAAGAGAGCTGTGTCGTGCAGGAATGTTTGTGCCACACTGTGCAGGGTGTTTTCGTGAATGCTGTGCTCCTATTGGTAGTCTCAGTTTCCCTCCATCTGCTGGTGTTGCGTAGCCTGCCACGTCTTCAGCAGAGCTTGGGAAGGCTCTCAGGAGTGGAGAGAGGCTGGGTTGGTGTTGGAGCATAGAGAGGCAAGGGCATGCTGCTTAGAGGCTTCGTTCCACGAAGGGCCACATCTGGGCTCTCAGTGCTTCTGGTAGGCTCATTTCCCCCCAAGCTGTGGGGTGCACGGGAAATGCAAAGCCCTTCATTTCTATTAAGATTGGGGTCTGGAGTGGTGGCAGCAGTAGGTGTTTTATCATCTCCTTCTTGGGATGGAAGCAGGGAGATGGGTCAAGGACACCAGGAAGCCTCGGTTAAGGCAGCACTTAGGCTGACCCCTGTTCCAGATAAGCAGGGCTGCTGCAATGGGAGGCAATTCGGTTGTATCAAATCCTCCTACAGCCTTTGCCACCCTAGATGGAAGGCAGCTTGTTCCATGCTCTGTCCCCAGTGACAATAGTCTCCTTTGTGAGTGGGGCTGAGGTCTATTGCTGGACATGCACAAGCTATCTGGCATTTGGTGAGGTCAGAGCAGGAGTTTCTACTGTCAAAAGGGTGCGGGTGCCCACCCTTCTGGCATAGAAGGAGGGGGGAAAGGAAGGTGAGGTCAGGAGCCAAATAAATAGAACAAATCCACAGTGGAAGGTCACTAGCAGTAAGGGCCCAAACTCCACCTTGGTCCTTTGTTTCTGTCTATAAATAAATACTTGCATGTCAATGCACTGGTACAGTAGCAATGTGTAATCCATGCAGTGCTTAAGTATCATATCATACCTCAGTTATCAGAGACCCCTCAGGCTTTCCAGATGAGATTGGGCACATTCAGGATGATATGGCCATAGAGACCTTGGAGCTTTTCAGGGGACACCACAGTGACATTTTTCTTCCTCCTACCAGTCTTCATTTCATTAGTATCCTAGGTGTCTTATGACAGCAATTTTCTAGAAAGAGATGCTAGTAATTTATAACCAAGTACTTCTGATACACTCATTAGAATACTTGCTGACTGCTTGGAACTTGCTAGAAAGTAAACTACAAATCCAACTTGAAAGCACCTGTATAAATCTTAATTTACTGAAATTATATTTAGCTTCCAGAGAAGCCCTGAAGCTTTGTGGGAATAAAATAGAGTGGTACCTTGGTTCATGAACTTAATTCTTTCCACAGTTCTGGGAATAAACCAAATTGGAGGGGCACCGTACCAAATTTCCCCATAGGTCAACACTGATGCTAACCATCAAATTCGGTTTGGTTCTCGTTCAACTCAGTTTGTGGTCAGAACTGTGGAAAGAATTAAGTTCGTGAAATGAGGTACCACTGTGAAAACAAATTAAGAAAAGATTATAAACTATTTTAGGGAGGGCAAAGAAGGTAGCTGTGAGGATCAAATTAAAGGTACTTAATATTATCTTCTGAAAATGACCAGTTAAAAGCTTATTCGGGGTTAGGAATGGAGCTCAGTCACAGAATGCTCACTGAGCATATGTCAAGCTCTGTATGCAACCCCAGCTTCACATAAATGATGAATGACTAAAACCTGATTCAGTTTTAAAGGTACTGAGAGGCAAAGTTATCCTAAGTTTCCCAAACCACTCGAGAAACAGAGTGATCAGTGGTAAAAGCCATTGTTTATAAAAATGATTGTAACATGTAGCAGGAAGCCCCTTCAATTCCTGTGTATTCCTTTTCCTGACTCCACTAATCTACTTGGATGTTGACAGCTGGGAAGCCTCCACCTCCAAGTCCTCTGGGCTGAGGACGTGACTCCCAGGGGAGCGACTAGGTGGCCTGAGAAGGGAAGGGAAGGAAGGAAGAGCTGGGTTTCAGGATCACCTATTTCTGTAATTGTTTGTTCTTTTTATTTTTTCTTTAAGCAGAAGCAACATGTTTTCCCACTGAAGACCCACTGAGACCAGATATTTGTGAAAGAAAAAATCAAGTTCATTTACAGGAGGTAGACATATGTTAATATGAAAGAAAATAATGACCCCAACACATCATGCATTGCACAGCTTATGCCCAGATGGGGACTAATATTTAAAATGCACTTGGGCCTGCTGACCTTGGATCACCAGGAATAGTTAGACAGAAGGAAAGATGTATCAGCAACAGCGAAGGTGCCTAAGAAATAGTAAATGGAAAACTTAGACTTGTATTGTCTCCTATTAAAATGTACAGTAGCTCCACATTTTATCATTTTTATAAAGCCCTTTTTTCTGCAGGAGAAGTTTCCTCTAAAAGAGTCACATATATGAAGCAAGCTGTATTTTCTTCCTTTTCTGACAATTTTCTAGCATGGCCATATCTATAGATACTTTCATTATGATTTTATTTTCTGAGCAAGTCCAGCTCTTAAAGTTTATAAAGCAGCAACTTTAAGAAGAACTTTTATTTTTCCTTGGGATCTTTGTCATAAACAGAACTATCTCACAGAATAAATATTCTCCATTTATATGATAATCTTTACAGCTTTAGTGATTCTAAATAGCTTCAGAGCTTATCAGTGCAGCTACCAAGAAAAATTTGTTGAGCAAAACCCATAAAACATTACATAGGATTCTAGTCTTCATACTGTAAACATGTAACATCTATATATATTTGAGGAGGATTACTATCAGCAAAATTCTTGCATGCATAATGCTTTTAAGTAAAATATCTTTAAAAACTATGTAAATAAAAAATTAGTTATAAAATAATACAATGACATAATAATTTTAAAGCACATTTATGAAAAGGTTACACATAATATAATCATATTAGCTTACTTAAAAATATAAAAATATTAGCCCTCAAAACCAGGGTCAAAATATTGCCAAGAATTCAACCGAGTTATAATTATACAACATTGGGAAAGAAAATTAAATGGCCATTATTCTTGACTTTTAAGAAGGTTGTATATAGTTTAAGGCAAGTGAATTTTTAGTAGACATGTTTGATTTTTTGTTGTTGTACTAAGATATATACTTTTAGTTTAGTTTTTGTGTGTCAAAAGATGTCACCAAATATATAATGGCAATCATTTTAATGAGGGAAAGAGTAAACCCAAAGATTATTCTTGTGATCAAGAGAAACAATAAAGAGTAGGATTAGCACCATAGTAATTACCCAAGCGGATGGATTTCTAATCCTAGAAATAAGCATGCTAATTAAGCTGCACTACAGGATGACAAGATAGTAAGACCTGAGTCTGGAGACATTGTTATTCTAATTTACCAGTGAAACTTAATTCTCATTATATTAAAAGTACTTGATCAACCAAATCTTTTTTAATTAACAAAATTATTCAGGCAGCTTCTGTAAATTTCTTCCAAGAGTGTCAATTTTAGAGGGACACACTTCCGGTTAGTATATTCACAGCCTATTGTCTGCGTTTCTTCTAGAGCAGGGCTGGTTTAGTCTTATCTGTTGCAATACCTGCTTCTGTATGATATCAAAGGGGCTTTACACAGGGGGAATCAGAGGTCACTGTGAGCTTTCAAACTACTCTGGGCTTTTTGTCCTTTAAAGATGAGGAGTGGAGAGCCTACATTAGTAAATGGAATTTACCGCCCCTTGGCTGATCTAGGTAAATCACAGGTTTCAATATCTCCATGACCAAACACTTTAGGAGATATTAACAAGCAAAGTGGGGGTAATGAATGGAAGGCAAAAGTATACATATATAAATAATGTGCAAAGGGAACATAGGAAACATTGTTATTATTTTCATACTTACAGGAGAAAGGTAAGTTTAAACTTTCTAAACTGGTAAATGACAATACAATATAGTTTTTGCAAGGTCATGTGGAACAACATTACCTAGTGGGTGAAAGAGTATCTATATAAAAGAAATGGACTTTTAGGGTGAAAAGACTCATGGCAAAAGAATTCTAGAAGATGATTTAGTTTAGTTTCTTACTGTTCCCCACATGCTAGGGTGCATATGGGAGGTTGTTCTTTCCTGTTTCTTTTTGTGTGCCCATTTTCCTGTTTTGACTGTGGCCGGTACATCTTTTCTGCCACTATATTGAAAAGTAGTAAATATTTAATAGTGTAAGTTAAATTACTTCTGTTTAAACTCAGTAGATACTTTGTGAATGACAAGAAAAGAACTATAGGATTGGTAATATGGAACTGTATATACTGAAAAGATAGTCAAAACCACTTGTATCTTTGCTATAGAAAGTGTGACCCATCAAGCTGCAGCACCAGCATTTTCTGGAAACTGTTAGAAATATATAGTGGGGCTCCCCCCAATCCCTTCAACATCAAAATCTGTATTGTAATAAGATCCCCAAATCAAATGCACATACAATTGTAAGAAGTGTTGTGTTAGTAGACCAGTTTAATGAAAGAAACAGGCACAGATTGTTTTTTTAAAAGCAGCAATTTCATATGAAAGCCTCCAACCCAGAGCCCACACTGTGGAGACAATAATACAATCTAACTCTGATCGCAGAAATTGGAAGCAGTTTGAATCTGGCTTCTTCTGTACTTTCCATGCAATATAAAGTGTGTACCTGGTCAACTATATTGCAGTAATTGTGCATAATGTAAATTATTCCTTAAATGTCCTAAACAAGTACCTGATCAATACGAGATAAATTTTGGAAAGTTCCCTGAGATACAACATGACATTTCTTAGAGGGTAAATAGATGATTTGCTCACAATAGAACATGAAAAATTCTGAGAGGCCCTGAAATAAATAAGTTCTATTCTACTTAAAAACCAAGATTCCACAAATAAATTTAGACATGAAACTGTGTCTCTTTGTACAATAATAATAGCATTATTCAGAACAATTATTCTAAAGGATATACTGGGAAACACTGCATTTTATGAATTTGCGACATTTCATATGTGAATTCTTCCTAGGGTTGATCTGCTCTTGGTTAACTTCTTTTCTTCTAATAGTTATAAAATGTACTGAAAAACTTCAAACTTGAACATGAACAAAAAGCAAAACTAAGCTCTGACACAATAAATGTTATAGTATAGAAATTCTGAGGCAAATTAATCCAGCTGTACTGTTAGAAGTTATCCAGATCTGGGTAGATAAAGTTGTCCTTGAACAGACAATATGCTAAAGTCTGGCCTCCACATATCATTGATATTAAGCCAGATCCTGCAAAGAAAGGAAAGGGAAGTTTTGGTTAATTACGAAGAATGGATAATCCACTAGCAAGGGTATGAATGAGAACAGTTGTCATCACTAAGGTACCTGGAGCTGTATAAACAAGGAGCAAAACACAAGACAGAAAACAGGAAGTAAGGAGATAGAGCTTTCACAAAGGGGAAGGGGCTTAAAAGATGGAGGGAAGAGGAAATGGATGAAGAAATAAATTAAAATGTATTATGTGTGTCCACCAACTCCGCACAAGGAATGTAAACATTATGTACGTCAAAAATGTCCTAATAAAAAAATAATTCTTCTCAAACAGATAAAGCATTTGAAATAGAGTAGTTTCAGATTCAGCCAAGAGAGAGTAGAGGTTCTTTTTTGAGGTTGCTAAATTGTTAAAATTTAGAACTGCTTTTGAGAATAGATGAAAAATCAATGAGTTCTTAAAAACTCAGACATTTAACTGAAGTCAGTACATGTACCAAAGAATTCTTAGTTCTTTCAACTTTTCAACTAGTCATGTATTTATATTTTTACTGTTTACATACCTGTCAATAGACAGATGATAGATAATAGATAATAAATAGATAGCAGATGATAAGCTAATGTAGCTTCCGTCTGATTTTAAAAGAAAACCATGTTCATTTACTTTAAGTAAAAAAAATATTTTTAAAACCAGAAATTCACCTATCTGGGTTGTTTGGTTTTATGAAAACACCTTTATTTCTAGTGATTTTTGTTTGTTTTAAAAATCAATTCAATCAATATCAACCTAATAAGAGAGTTTTCATAAGTTGATTGCTCTTGTATAGCAGTCACAACACAATGTCCATGAGAGGTAAAACTGTCTGAGGTAGGAACCCTGACGAGATTTCCAATTTCCTCACAGGAAAGCTCCTATCTAAGGCGAGACCCTGTTGTGACTGTATATTGTGTCCACTTGAGAAGGCTAGATGCTCTTAACTAAGTAACTCAGCAGCTCTGCATTCTGGGGTGTAGAGGACAAGTGTTTTCCCTCTAGGATGTTGTTCATTGTGTCAAATGGAGGTCAGAGGTTTAACTCAGTGATTCAGCAGGGCCAGGGTCGTTACTTTGTAGAAATCCTAGCGTGTGAAGGAGAGGGCATGGGAGATGGTGGGATGCTACACCCACCCCAGGGATGAGGGGCCCAGCCTGCCTACAATCTAAGGGCGAAGAGGCTTGCTCCTCCCTCCTTTTTTGCTCTGGCTGCTTTTGCTGTCTTCTGCCACCTTGAAGTGTTGCCCCTGTGCCATGCCACGCTGCCTTGGAGCCAGCTATTTACAGACTGAAACCTCCACAAACAGTGAGCTAAATAAACCTTTCTTTCCTTAATTTCAGTATCAGGTATTTTGTCTCAGCAAGGAGAGAAAAATAACCAACACAGACCCTGAGAGAGCATTCCCAGTTGGCCTGGTTTCTGTTGTCATGAACAGAAAAGCTTTGCCTTCAGTGAAAAACACTACCGATGGTGTGTGATGATGGCACCCTGAGGAAGCCAACCCTGCTCACTCAGAGGGAAACAGTCACTCAGGTGTGGTATCGAATGCTCATCCATTCACCTACATGGATTCTCACTGGACTCCAGGTGGCACTTGTTATGTGGGAGGGCCAGTGAGGGCACAGTACATTTTGTGGTGTTGTAAATAAATTTCAAGGAGACAATTTTCTATTTTTCATGGAGAAAATGTTATTTTCACTTACAATTATAGCATTTCTTTCAGTATTTTTCTTCCAATTTACAAAAAATTTACATCTTTGAAAGGCTTGTACCAAATAAAACGTATTTTTTACATGCTTTCTTGAGGTACTAAGCAATACTACAGAAGTTCACAAATAAGACTCATAGATATACAAGGCAAGGAGAGAATTAAATCTGAATAAAGGAGGCTAATATGTGGTATAAATAATGCCGGGCTAGGAACAGGTAAGTCAGCACAGTGTTATCATCAATATTTGTCTGAATCTAAAGGGAAATCTTTAAGTTGGCCATGACATAGTTGTTGAGTTCATTCAATTTGTGAGCAGAACAAACAACTGAAGTAGTTTCATTGCTTGTTGCATTACTATGAAGACTGCAGTGTCAGTCATGAAGAAAAAGAGAGAACGTGTCAGCAACAGAAAGTCATCGAGCAGTCTTCTGTCCCAATTACCATGGCCCACATAAAAGTATTTTTATGCCCCTATCTTATATATAAATAAATCATATATATATATATATATAAATCATGTATAGGTTATGATACAACATGTTATATGATATATAATATGCATATATTATATATTGTATGCATACTATAACACAGTATGCATATTATATGATATATAAGAAATATGTGCTATCATATATACATGTTATTTATAAATAATATATATAATGCATCATATAATCTCCAAATACATATTGTGGTGGATTGATAACTGGTAGTTAACCTGTAATACCAGGTGAGCTGAATCAGATGGTGGTGAGCATGGATGACCCCCCTGAGCATTGTTGCCAAGACAAAAAGAACTGGAGAAGAAGTAGTATTGTCCTGGAGGAGCTTTGTGAGCTCCTTTCCTGATGTGGACTTGGCTGTTCTCATGGTCAGAGGAGCTCAGGACCTTGTTGTCACTGAGAATGGGTGCAGTTCACTTTGGGGGAGCTCTTGTCCATACTTTGTCATTTCCTGGCTCCAGAGGAGAAGCTGTGTGTTGTTAGTATCCAGGAGAAGCTTGTCACACGCTGGCTTCCTGATATGAACTCTGCTGTCCTCATTGTTGGAGGTACTCAGGACCTCACTGTTGCTGAGGTTGGCTGTGATACTTTTCAGGGGAGCCCTGGTCCTTACTTGGAGCATTGCTTCCTGGCTCCAATGCAGAATCCCCAACCTATTGGTACAGATACTTCATCCTGCTAGCACAGGATGCTTTCTGGCTTCCACCACTGACCTTTGGGCCTTCCTAGTGCAGATCCATGAAAAGGACTTGCATAAGTCATTGTCATGGGCTCTAGACTTCCAGCTGGATTCATAGGGGGCATGTCATGGGCTCCAGATCTTCAACTGGGTTCTTTGGGTCTTAGTGTATGGACAGATTTCCTCTACTCCTTTCTTTTGTATTTGACTCTTTGGGTGATGATTATAAAATGATACTGTAAATTATGTGTCCTGTATTATCTTGTTCTCTTTGCAATCCATGCTCCAGTGTGTTCAAATGTGTAATATCTATACATGAAAATAAATAGTACATCATATGGTATAATAATATATCACATAACATATTCCAATGAATGTTTTCAATATATAATATTTATATATAAAATAAATAGTACATCATATAATATAATATTTCATATACTCCAATAATGTATCCAAATATATAATATTTATCTATAAAACTGACATACAACTGGTAGTTTTCTGTTTATTTCTTCAACTCTCCTAGGGTGAAAATTAAACAGCCTCCCGGGTCATCCACTGGAGTTGTCTATCAAGAGTTTATATGTATTCACTACATGCTAGGAAAATCTCTGCTGCGTCATCTCACCTAATTCTCCCTGAAGTTACCCAACTAACACTTACTGTATATGACAGTATACATATATATGACAGTCACCATGCTGGGGGCTGAATATTTTATTAAGAATACTTAAGCTTAAAATTTGTTTTAAATACTTGCAATTTACAGCATTCTATAATTTTCTTTTCAAAAGCTTAAGCAATTGAGTTTTGAAATACATATTTTGATTGTTTTGTCTGTCTGTGTTTTTGTGCATCACGTTTTATCCTAAACATGCTTTGTCCAACATGGAAAACCAGTCGTAGAGCTGAAAAGCAACAAGGAAGTCCTATTCACGCTTGTGAGTCTGACTGATCTTCTATATTCTTCTCAGTTTCTTTGTGTTCTCTTCATGCCTGAAGGGTGGATGTCTGTAAATTTCTGTGCCCTCTGTGTTACATTGTGTATTTTCTGAGATCCTAGTGGTCCCAAGGTTACAACCACCACATCTTTGCAGTCAAAGCTTCAGGATTGGTATGCAGAAGTATCTCCAAGTGACAATCTAGGTCAGAAGGAAAAAGGGACCTAAGCATGGGACCACCTTTGTGGCTGAAAGAACTCTACTAAATTATCCGATTTGGTACACAACAGTTTCTACATTTGCAAAAGTAGAATATAATATTTATCTCAAAGAACTACAATAAGGTTAGTGAAATAAATCCAGTGTTTCTGGCTCAAATTAAACAGTCAATAAATGCAAGTATTAATTATGTGGGGAATTAAAATTGAGTGGCGATACCAGCACATATTTGGGTTTGCTTGCTGTTTTCCAAACAGATTGAAGATAATAGACAAGATTAGTGTAATGTTTCTAAAAATATTATGTAATCTTTATATTTGGAAGCCAAATGCAACATATTTAGAGGTAAATGTTTTCTGTACGTGACAAATATTTGAGCCTGCTCAGAAGCATTCAGCTTTGCTTTATGTGACTGTTCATAGCACAAATAAATGTTAGAGTTGTGATGCTGTTTGTCTTCCAAAGTTCCTAATTATTTCATACTATCATTAAGGAAGAACAATTTTTTAAAGTGATATTGTAAACTGGGAATGGTGGCATATGTCTGTAATCTCAGAACTCTCAGAATCTAAGGCAGGAAGCAAGTTCAAGCCCAGACTGGGCAATTTAACAACTTAGCAAGACCTTGTTTCAAAATAAAAAGGTAAAGAAATAAAATAAAATAAAAACAAGTGCTGGGGCTGCAGCCCAGTGCAAAGGTTCTGGGTTTAGTCTCTATTACTCACCCCCCAAAGATATTATAACAGTCTAATTTCCTGTATAGTTGCTGTTTCTTATCTTGATTTCCCTGTTTTATAAAGTAAATTTCTAGGGAAAACATAATTTTTAGACTGAATTATTTAAGTCTGAGCTAAATGTGGATGGCCACTTCTGGGAAATGATGGTATTGGAAAACAATGGAAATTAACTTTAGATGATTTGAAGAACTCCTCAGTGTTCAGAACTTGAAAATGATGTTATGTAATAAAACTTACTGGCTTTGTTTCAAGCTAAGTGCTGCACATAGTTTAAGAGTCTTGGCATGCTTTCCATCGCTGCTTCTCAAAGGATGGGCCATGAAGAGCAACATCACAATCATCCCAGCCCCACGCAGACCAACTGCACTTCAGTGAGGGCCTCAAGGTCTGTGTGCAGGAGATGCCCAGCTCCAGACTACAGTTCTTGGTCCTGCATGCTAATAGGTCTTTTGTCCTTTTGCTCTCATGAGCCTGGTTTCTTTGCACCAGCACAGCGAGGTGTCCTCTCTCCTGCCATACAGGGGAGTTTCCTCATACCCCAGGTCCCTGTTCAGGTGCCATAATGCCACACCCAGCGCAGTGCTTGAAATTCCCAGGGGGAGAATGGTGGAGGCTGAAGAAATGAAAATCAGAATGCAGAAAGCTGAGGTCATGCAGAGCCCTCTCTCATGGTGAGAGGAAAGGAACTGCCCAAGGACTGTAGTGAGTTTGTTGATACAATCGGCACCAGGTTGACAACAGGTGAAACCCCTCTCCTAACGGAGAAAGGACCTGCCTCACAACGTGTTGTCATCTGACCTCGGGTGCTCAGTGTTCTCAGGCTGGCATTGCTTTAGCCCCACACATGTGATCAATCTCCAGCCCAATCACTCCCCATAAATGGGGGTGAGGCAGAAGCTAATTTACTTTAGTATACCCTTAAATTCTTTGCTCCTTACACGAGAGCTTTTTCTACCCATTTTACTGACTTCAATGGACAGTTGTTTCTGTGGTTCTCACATTCCTTGTCATCATTTTGCTTTTTGGAGAGATATCTTGAGACTTGACTATTTTGCTTGAATCACCCAGTGAAACATACAACAGGCTTTAGCCTTTTCATCCTTTAAATATTGACCCTTTTTGGGATCCTTGACTGTTGCAAGATGATTTGCTTTGATAAATTGCATCTAAGAAGAACCTGCATGCTTAAGGGTATAAGAAGAAATGGAGGCTGGTCCCATGATAAAATGTGAAGAGTTAGGTCAAACATGACCTCTAAAAAGGGATGAGGAGATATCAGGTAATGGGGAGTGGTGATGGGGGAACTGCACAGTTTGGCATCAGGTTTTGCATACACCTGTGCCTCATGCTATTTCTGAGTCAACCCTGTTGCTTATGTGTACAGTGGGATACCCGAATCACCGTTGTGTATATGATCAACAGTCCACATGTGGGTTCCAGTAATAGCACAAAAATAAATGCTTTTTAAAGGGAAAATACATTTTCTCTGGTTTCCTTATAATGTCTTGGTCCTTAATACCCACCACAAGTGAAAATTGATAGGGAAAGAAGGGAGAACTAACTAGTGGTATAGGTGAGACTTAGAAGCTGTCTAAGGGAACCTACAGTTTAATGAAAACTTTGTCAGAATATACAACATTTCTCTAGCTTTCATGCACTTCTACTGAATATATTGCTCCATATATAAAGAAAAATCTGTCATTCTTTCATAAAGGGAAATTTTATCAAAAAGAGAAGCAGAGTTTGGTAAATTTCTTGTATGTCTATTTGCCAGTGTGTTTCCAACACAGGTTAAGCTGGCAGAATCTCTGGTGTGGACTGTATTTGAACTGCCCTCAGGGTAGGTTTGGCTGGAAGAGACAACCAAAGGAGTCTACCCTCAGTCAACTGTGTGGTTTTCACTTACTTGTGTATCATTGTTATTCTCTTAGAAAAAGAATATGACCATCCCAAGTCTCTTAGAGTATAAAATAATCAAATCCATATCTAAGATAAAAATCTATTTCCAAAATTTATTCTAGTCGACATTATTTTTGTACATCATAGAATCTAAACTAGAATAATTCCAACATACCTAAAGCAGCCCACCAGTGTGATGTCAAGGGAAACTCCAGCATGACTGCAATAGAATAAAAAAGGGAGTGTTTATTTTCAAAGTATACATTATCTTTTTACTCATGAAGAAATATCTATTTCTGTTTGGTCAAATGATATCAGTAGAATGAAGCAACAGTTGGTCCATATTCATGGAATCAGGGAGCCCCAATTTGGTATTTAAGTCATGGTCCAAAAAGCTGTGTGTTAAGTCAACATTTGGAACTCCTCCCTTAGATGTGATGTTTTGTATTATCAGGTTCTCCGTGTGCTCACAATGTTGATTGGAAGTGAGGTGCAGCAGCGATGGGTCTATGACCATCCTGAGTCCTGGCTGCCTCTAGAATTCCGAATCACTTCACTCCAGAGTCGCTTCTAATAAGCAGTCATTGGCTCAGCATCTTCTACATAACACATGTCTGACAACAAGTTAAGAACTTTTCTGGGACCAGAACTTGGGGCCTATTGCTATCTTGAGGACCCAGATCCTTTTACAGATATTCTGTGGCTGCCTTCCTGGAAAACTTGAGCCCTAGAGTTAAAACAGGGAATCCGAGACGATGGAGAGAACCCAAGGTCCTCCGAGTTACTGAGAGATGATTTGTAGCTGAGAAAATTGATGTGAGAGGATCAATACTCTGGCATCCTCTAATAGCAGGAAAGCTGGGAAGTAGCAATTCATTTGGAAACTCTGTGCTCTTAAATTGCAGACAGATTATACTATCAATAGATCAGGACACTAAAATTTCAAGAGTCATGTGAACTGGTAATAAAAATAAGCATTGACTTATAACATGTGTTTACAATTGTCCACACTTGTATGTTTAAACAAATAATAGAGGGTAGTTAGGTGAGGAAAAGGGTAGAGGAGAGGAGAAAATTTCACATGGATGGATGAGTGAGTGCATGAAACTCTCAAGCACGGAGTAATTGTCTTATGATGGATGCTGTTTCAGAGAATTTCTCATGATCTCACTGCAATTTTACCAGGCCTCTCCCTCTTGTAACAGAGGAAACTAACATGAAATGTGACTTGGCCAAGAGGACATTTCTGGGAAAAGGCAAAACTGAAATCTGAATGCATTTTCTTCTACCGCCAGCGATCACAGGTGAAGATGCAAACTTTGGAGAACTGGTATTCTTGTCAAAAATAAGGATTATTGGGAAACTCTAGGTTTCCTCATGCCCCACTTTTAGATCACTGGTTAATTTCTACCTCTGGAAATGGTTTTGAGGGGACTATCTGAATTATGGAGACAAACTCCACACCGGTGGATGGCAAGCTGAACATGAAAAGCAGATAGGAAACACCTACATTTCAGTACAGCCCTGACCCACACACAGCTGTCTAAACCTGCCTACAAGGAGGAGATGGGAGGAGGAGTGAACTTCATCATCAGCAGGGCACAGGGCGGAGTCTACCCGTAGGATGTAATTTAGAAACAACATCAAAAATAATGCATTTTCTTTGTTTCTGCTATTTTACTTCCTTACCGGTACAAGTGATGACAACATGAAGAATGGTGACTGAAACAGCATAATCCCAAACCCACTCTTCTACGATCAGAGCAAAAAGCAACCCACAAAAAAAGTAGGTGACTTCTGTTGAGAACAAAAGAACTGCGAAGAAAACCAAGAATATAATTTTTGAGACTAGTGTAATTAACAATTTTAACATACAGCTAGCAAGAAGACCATGAGAACTTAACCCAGCAAAGAATTTTCCAAAGATTTTTAAAACGGCCCATCTCTTACCTGATCCTCAAATATAGAGAAGAACATTTAATATATCGCTTAATTATTCTTAGATTTATAGAACTATAACTAGCCATATATAATTTTTCTTTCATATTGTTTGTGTTTAGTATTTTAACAAGTAATGTGTAATAAAGAAGAGCTACAAAATACACTTTATGTGCAAATATCTCATTGGATTGTTGTTAAAAGATATGAAAAGTTTATGGACTTAGTGAAAGAATTCAGTTCTTGGTTTTTAGAAAACAGTGTTTATTGAATTATGACAGTTCTTTGTTACCAAGAAGGGCCTATCTTGGAAAGGAGTTCCTTTGGGTTTTCGTAGTAACTTGGTACGTTCAGATAGTCATCCGGGAAACATGACTGATTGTCATGGAAGAATGACAGATGTGGGCAGAAATACTTGTGCACTCACTGGTTGTCACATGATGGCTTCCCTGAATATGAAGAAAGTGTTATTCACCAGCCAGGACCACAAAGCTCTAAGAGAACCGAAGACAAGAAGAGTCAACCTTTGGCCTCTTGTTTTTATACGGCCCTCTAAGGCAACAGTAGCTTCAAAAAAGAGGTTCATCAAACTTTAAAGTGGCACATAGATGTGTATACCACCAAAGACCCTTGGCAAATAATACCACTTTCCATAAAAACAACCTTTCTTCCTTTTAAAACATAGCAAATGACTGGTGGGTTCATATAATTCAGGAATCAATAAATCTATGTAAATGCTATATCTTTTTCAAGCAGAAAATAAAATAATCACCTACAGTATTTCCTACTGTGCAGAAATAATTTATTAACCAGCAAGTCATTGACTGCCTAATTGGTAAATGGGACATAAAGTAAGCAAGCTCAGGCACCGTCTTTGTCCCTTTTTCACTGTATTTATTTTAACTCTGTAGTCTCCAGCAGTTGAATGGTGAATTTATGGTAACTCCTTTTCTATTGGATGGAAATTTCTTTGACTAATACAAATCAGTTTGGCATATCCTGCTCCCTAAAATGAAACCTGGTGTTGTCCTGTCATAATATTATTTCTACTATCAAATTTCACTCCTGCCTCCAAAAAAGGCTCACCCAGGCTCCGTAGTATTATAGGAAAATAGAGATGCCTCCTTTGCCAACAGTTAGCTCTCTAGGTTAACTTGAAGCTGCTTGGAGATAGCAATTTTCGTCTTGCACAAGTCTTATTTGTAAGCAATGACAGAGAATATTTAGGCTTTGTCTATAATAGGAAAAAAAAGCATGATTTAAAGGAAATAGTACAAAACTGGAGGTCAGGATAGCAGAATTCTAGTTTAGCATTTACAGTTTAAGAGTCCTAATTAAGACACTGAGCAGGATTTTAACCTCTGGATAAACTGGAAATGGAACACTATCTTATCTACCTCAGAAAAATGTGGGGAGGTTTTTGGTTTAAACAAAAGGAATTTGTAAGTTTTTCTGTGCAACACAAAGGAAAGATATCACTGCTTGAAATGGTTTGCCTAAAACACATGTTCCAGTGTCCTTTCAAAAACTGATCTCCTGGGTGAAAAAATCATTGAATAGACAAGAAACCTGATCCTACATTGAAGCCTAGGGCTCTAAGGTGACCCTTACATTTATCTCCAAGATTAAACAAGACTGAATTCTCACAGCAACCACCTTAGAGAGTTATGACACTTATCTTCCTAAACCCAAAATTAAAGATTTAATAGGCTAAGAGTTTATCAATATCTTTGTGGAAATGTTCCTGTTTTGTAACAGAAAATGACTCTATAAACTAGGCCAGACGTCCTGGGGCTCTTCACTAATCTCTGGTATGTATAAACAACCTTCTCCAATAAGCCTGTGACACTGGCCTGTCTTCTGTGACTGACCAGAAGGCAAGGATTACATGACAGTCCGGCATGAGTGCTCTCTCCCTGCCCAAAACACATACATGCCTCATCTTGACTCTTTCCTGTGACTATCTTCTTATCTTTTGTGGAGATATATAATATAACAGTAATAAGTTAATTCTATCTCCAGTAAAGCAATATGTGAAGAGAAAGGGCAGATAAAACATGAGACTTCTTGTATCTTGTTACAATAAACATCTCTAGTTCTCACACATTTTTGCTGTCCAAAATTGAATCAATAAAGGCACCAAACAAGGTTATCCAGTGGAGGAGGATGTTTTAAGGCTTTTGATTTGAATTCAGTAATTCTAGCTGGCCAAGTGTTCCAAACAAATCATTTTTGAAATCTGTTTTCTTTGGCTTGAGGCAATTTTGTATATTTGCATATTTCCCCCGCCCCCAAGAAAGGTTATCCCGTGGTTTTCTAAAAAAATTTTAATATTTAGAGATTTGAGAGTACTTTTTTAGAAACGTGAAAAAATTGAACAGAATATTAAGAATAATGATACACAAAAAGTAAGTTTATGGTTGTTTTTCTTTTTTCCTTTCTACTTATCAGTATTGTCTAAAATTTCATTTGCTGGTGTGTATTATTTTATAATGGAAAGTGGCATTAAAATTTTGCTCTTAGGAAGAAGGAGCAAACTTAACATGAACACCCCAAAACAAGTATGGCTGATGTGTATTCAAATAGGCATTTTTACTGACATACGGGCTTATGAATATACAAGGTATACATTATTTATTCAATGGAAATGCAAAATTGAAAAGGTATAGGTTTTTTCCTAGTGTATGCTTTCCTATTGCTTGTCTTCTGCAATAAATTGCTGCTTTAAATTTTTGAATGACACATAGCAACTACACATTGTGGGGCAGAGTAGGATATTTTAACACATGTATATGGTGCATAATCATCCGTTCATGATGACTACCACATCTATCACCTCAGATATTATCGTTTCTCTGTGTTGAAAACATTGCAAATCTCCATCACGAGCTACTTGAAATATTCAATTAATGGTGTCAACCTTGTTATCCTACTGTGCTCTCAGACACTTCCTCTGCAATAAATTCTGCACTATTTTGGGAAGAAAAATAAAGCAAAACAGAAATGTACAAAGTAGAAAATGAAATTTCTTGGTCATTCCAGATGGGAGATAACAGTTTGTTGTATAATTTTCCAGACATCTTACCATTGAAATCATGAATTTTACTCTAGTCTTCAAAAATAAAACTACACTACACGAAGTCTTAGCAGTCTTCATTTTCTATCTTGTATGTTAGGAACATTTTCTACATCAGAATATTGTCATTCTTCCTTTTCCTTTAAAATGTATTTATTGTGAAATAAAAATTCACGTGAGAATTCTAACAGCCTTCTTATTCCATCTCCTAGGATTACTTAATCTGAAGTTTTTGATAATACTTTCCTAATTAGCTTTTGAAGTCAGACATAACATACAGGTGTTTGAAAGACAGGCATGATTATTTTGGAATTTTTTTTAAAAAGATTTTGATTTTTGGAGGCACATAGTTCACTTATTGATAAGAATTTAAAAATTTAAAATTACCTTTATAATTTGTGTCCAGCCATGAGGGACTTGTTTTGAAATCAAATGGTGCCAGGACATCCAACTCATATACCCTGAGATGTCACAAATGAAAGAAATTTACTCTGAAGGAGATGGTTCATCTAGCCCGTGCACACCTCTATCCACAGAAGTCGTTGCATTTACCCATGTTGGATACCTTTAAGAACTGACAGACTCATATGGCCACCAAATAATTTCTTGTCTACACTGTCTTCTGTGTCAGTTAAACTCACTTTGTCCCCAGAGTGGCTTCCATTGCATCTGAGGTCTCAGCTCTCATCCCAGGAGCTCCTTCCATCCAGGATGTGAGGGGGAGCTTTAAATACAGAGCAAGCATGGGCTTGGAAGCCACAACACACAGGTTCTAATCTAGGTAGTGTTATCAGTGAATTTGGACCAGTCATTTAGCCTTTCTGGGCTTCCGTTTAACTATAAATGGAAGAGATTAATCACTTAACTGCTGAGACCCTTTCCTGTTCTAAAACCTGGGCCTTGTAGAGCACATACCTAGTCTTTCTACGGAGCCCAAGTTGGTAATTGTGTGCAGCTGGTCCCCCAGTCAGCTGCGCTGGGAGCTTGAAAGTCTAATTACGTCAAGTGCCTTACCACTGAGTCATGTTAACTGCAAACTCTCGAATCCCAAGCTCAGGGTTGGCCTCATGCTTGCTCCAGGCAGCTCTCACTATCTGCAGCTCCATGCAGCAGCTGAGACTGTGTGAGCTCCAGTTTCCTCAGTGGGTTTGTCGGCAGGCAGGCTGGCTGAATTTTCTTTCCATTGTAAAAGTCTGTCTAATTAATTTTTGGTATCCATTTGCATATTAAAATGGTATTCTCTGCTTACACAATGAAATTAACTTATATAAATACTCAATTTGTAGGAACTTAAATGCAAAGATATATAATTTATTTCAGGCAGCCAACATTTGGGCTATCTAAATTTGTAGGGAAAATTTTCAACCATAACAAGATCATACATTACCCCCAAAATAATGCCTCATACTAACATAGAAATGATACCATTAAAAACACATGTGTTGATTTCATTTTATCCTCATGATAACTCTTTCTGGATTATTACCACCATTTGACAAAAAACACTAAAATAAAAGAAGTTCCATGGCTTGGTCAAGAGGCGACAGGAAATTAATTAGAACCTGGGCCATAGTACTGATCTCTTGACCTGCAGTCCAACACTGCTTCCAGTAGATATTAGAAAACATGTAAATTGGCTGTACATTATCTCTGAGCATCTTCGCATCCACACTTCCTCAGATTCAGTGCCAGTCCAGGGAGCCATAGTCTCCCTTTGTCCCATGATTGTCCACCACAGAGTAAGAACAGACTGCCTGGTTCTATCCGTGTCAGTTCACAGCAGTTCCTTCTATCATTTTCAAAGAGGCAGCAATTTTATTTTTACTTCAACAACAAAAGATTTTAAAACTTCACTAAAAAAATCCTCCTGCATTCTGTAATCCAGAGACATGTCAAATATTAAATATAAACTCCTTTCGTATTCAATATTCAGTGTTAACTTTCTAATTCTGTTTGAAGACAAAATGGCACTTACTTGAGTGTCAGGCTGCACAGGCTCAGAGACAAGTAGTACACTGTGTAGAACAGGATGACACACAGGAGAAGGTTCTGCAGAATGATCTGTGAAGGAGACAGAGGTGACATCCAGAAGTCTGAGGTTTTTTTCATGGCTAATAACCAGCTTGACAAACAAAAGATGATGAATGAATGAATGAGTGAATGAATCCTTATACTCCTAGCCAGTTTCATGCTGATTAGAGACTCATACATTGTGAAGGACTTCAAAGTGTACAACAAAAGTGTCACTGAAGCCAGGCATGGCGGCACATGCCTATAATCCCAGAACTTGGGAAGCTGAGCCAGGAAAAAACATGTGAGTACAAGGTCAGCCTGAGCTCCATAGTGAGACCCTGTCTCAAAAACACCAAAAAAAAATTGTTGACTGAAGAGGCTGGTGTGTTATGCATTCATATGAAGGGTTAATAAAGCAAAATTTTCCATATCATTTATCCTCCATCCACTTAAACAAACTTCGTGGATGCTGGCATTTATATTTTAACTTGACAAAATTATCCTAAATCTCAATTGTAGTCATAAAATGATGAGAACAGGTAAGAAATTTTGCAAAAAAAAACTAGGTGATAATACAATAACTAAGTACAGTAATTTATAAGGCAATTGGCTAACACACAATAGGTGATTTTGAAAATAATTCTTCCACATCAAACTCTTAACAAGCAGGCATTGAAAAGGAATGGAAACCAGACAGATTCTTTAACAAAAGGTGTCATGAAATTTGGCTTCTAAATATAAAAATCCCATTAGATTCTGGTCTGCTACAAGATACTACAATAAATTTCAAATGGATTAAAGGCTTACATGCCAAGGAAGAGATTGGGAGAAGATATTTGAAACATATATATCATAAGCAATAAACTCATACAAGTAAAAAGACAAACAAACCAATAGAAAAATGAGCCAAATATATAAATAGCCATTTCATGTGTAGAAACACTTCAAAAGCCAATAAAAAACCAAAGACGCTGAACTTCCCTATTAATCTTTCAACATATATTCTTATGACCGTAACAAAAATGTCAGCATTGCACATAGGAAGTTTCTCAGTTTCTTTTCTCCACTTTTAGATCTTTTTTACAGCCATTTTTATTTAGCCAACACTCTTACAACTTTTGTATTTTTCTTTGTCTTTAGATGATCAATTCCCAAAAACTTTTAATGGTCGGGGATGTCTGCTAGAATTTAGAGAAGGTCATTCTTGCAGAACACATCACATCCAATGGGCCGAATAGGCCAAATTGCAGATATACTAAGGATTTCTTTCTTTCAGCTATTTAAATACTGGCAAGCTGCCACGCCTAAAGGGCCACTGGAAACTAGGACTTTAAGACTGTTAGCATCTTCCTCCACCCCAGAACCCTCATACCATCCACTGCCCGTCCTGGCCTCTGCCTCTTCTGTCTCTGCCCCTCATGCCATTCTCTAAGCATCCTTCTGTGGCTCTCAGGGTTCATTCCCTAACCTCTCCTCCCTCAGGGTCACCAGGCTCTCTTCCTCACTCTCCAGGTCTTTCTGTTTCATGGAAACTGATACTCTGCTTTTGAATGGAAGAAGCAAAAGCATTTCTTTCCATAAATGTCTTTCTTTCATTATAAAATGAGAAACCATCTCCTGAGATCTGGGTCATGTTGGAGCTTAGGACACTGGGAAACCAAGCAACCAACTCGCCTCCCTGGTAAGCAGTCATGAGCCTACCAGTGTGTGGGCTAAGAGTCAAACATCCCATCCACTCTACCTGCACTAGCAAATGGGAGCCAGAGGTCTGAGCATCTCTTGGGAGGTTGACCATATGCAGTATAGCACATAGCGGGGAATTTCCTTCTATCTTCTGTTTGAAGGCAAATATAGTTATGACTGTTTTGCTTTGTTCTGATTAATTGTATTGCTCTATTCAATACTCTGTTTTGATAAATTCTAGAATGTTCTGAATTTGGTTTGATTTTGCTATACCTGATTGAAATAACAACTATTGTGAAGATAATGAGATACACTATGGCACCTATTACTGTTATCCCGGGAACCTGTTGTAACATTCTGTACCAATTTCATTGCACTGTCTCAATTGGCTATGTTCTGTCTTGTTCTGTTGTAGTTAGTTACCTTCAAAATAATTTTTAAAAAAGAAAGAAGTCTTTTCTAGAAGCCCCCATCAGACGTCCCATCATGTCTCATGAACTCCCACTGGGCCATGTACTCATGTGCAGGCCAATCTGCAGAGTGGACTGTGGTGACTGCTCCTGCAGAACAGAAACTTACTGCCTTGAAATATAGACAGGAGCAACGAAGAGGGAAGGGAAGGGCATGGGACCATAACTGCATAGTCCAAGTGGAGTCCTCAGTATGGAAACAGCTAAACATCTTCATTTCTTAGCAAAGATCATTTAGGGATCAAGAGAAAGTTGGAAGCTTCGCCTGAATTGAAAGTTGGAACCATGCATCTCCCTGCAGACTGGCTCAGTTCCTTCCTGGCTGCCGAAATGAGGACCTATTGATGGTGAAGTATATGTGACGTGGAGCAATTTGGGGGCTTTTGCAGTCCTGTAACTCGGTTAAGAGTCAGGTGTTGTGGGGCTTGCTTTACTATTTATGTTATGTATTAATATCAGTTTTTTCTTAATTTGAGCAGAAATTGTCCCTAGTTGAAATATTTCTAGAACATTGTTTTGCATTTTTATTTTAATCCAAAATAAAACAAGTGATATATAGTGTCTATACTAAGATACATTTTAAGTTATCATGAAACTATTATTTCTACAATAATAATGAAATTCCAATAACTCGACTTTTAAATATACTTACTTGCTATAAAAATTTACTTTTATAATCTAGACTATGCTTTGCACTTAAAAACCTATGAATACCAAATCTGTATAAGATTTTAGAGCTATTTTTTAAATTAAATAATAATTTGTAAGAATATATTTACTGACAAATTTTATATACAAATATATCTCCTTTTCTCAACAAATTTGCAAAACAGTCTCTACAGCATTAAAATAACACATTTTAAAACAATCTAGTAAGGGATATTTAAAACACAAGGAAAATTTTTTGTAAATAAGTATCTTTTTACATCTATATTGTAAATAAAGCTTTTCAAATAATTTTCCTAGAAACAAATTCACTTGCCCCTAGTAAGTTTGCCCCCTAATTTATCTTCTATGCCGCTGTTAGAACTGACCTTCTAAAAGACCGCCTGTGACATCCCTCTGCTGGGTATCTTTCCAGGACCCCACACTGAATCAGGATTCATCCAACCACTTTTTCCATTTCACAAATAGTCACTGGGTTGGCATTAAATCAAGATGAACTGGGCCAGCTTCTGGCCATAGAGACCCAGCCCAGCAGGTGCCCTTCAGTGTATGAACATCAGCCTCACTTTGAGCTTCTGTTAAAATGCAGATTACTGGGCTGCAGCCCCAGAGTCTCTGATCTAGGAGGTCTGGGATGGATCCCAGGAAGCTACATTCCTAGTAAGCGTCCAGGCACCACTGCGCCTGCCATTCCCATGAGTGCCCTTGGAGAACTACTGATCCAGAGATGAGAATGAGGTGTGGATAGGTGGCTACATGGCAGGCAGAGAGGCAGTGAGGGTGCAGTGTTCTGTACACTGGGGCAGTCTGGGAGAGCCTGGTGGAGGCCTGGTAGGGTCCATGTGTCCATGGAGGTGAGGAGAGGCTGAAGGAATGTTTTTCCAGGCAGTGTTCCATAGTAACATTTATATGTACATAGCATATTTAATCCTTGTAAAAATTCTGTTGTGGGTTCTATTACTATTCCTTCCCTAGAATACAAGCTCCCAGAGGTTTAGAGACTTTCCGAAGTCTGACAGTAGATGCACAGCTAGGACTCCAACCCTGTTCTCTGACGCTTAGACAATGTGCTACTTGTGATGAGCTGGGGTGACATGAGGGCTACCAGAGGCAGGAGAAGCGTTGGTGAGCACAGGGCAGGAGCCAAGCTGGAGACACGTAAGAGGGCGGCTAAAGGTCTGAGGTGAGGATGGCGGCGAGAAGGGGAGCACACCCATAATCCCAGCACTCTGAGCTGCTGCGGCCCCAGGACCATGCTTGAATCCGGACTGAAGAATTTAGTGAGCCTGTCTCAAAATAAACAATTTTTAAAAAGAAAGGATTGGGGATGTAGGTGAGGTGAAAACTGTACGTTCTGAGAATCCTCAGTACTGCCAGGAAGAAGGAAGGAAGGAAGGAAGGAAGGAAGGAAGGAAGAAAGGAAGGAAGGAAGGAAGGAAGGAAGGAAGAAAGAAAGAAAGAAAGAAAGAAAGAAAGAAAGTTCGTTGATTACGAATAGTGAATGTCTCTGAAAGCCATGAAGAGATTTTATAAAAGCTTTAAAGAGCAGTGTGGGCCGGAGGTAGGACACGCATTTGAGTGGATTTGTAATAACCTTATCCACCAGTGGAGCTGGACAGAGGACCCAGCAGCTAAGGAAATAAACTGACAAGTCAAAGTTTCTCAGAGAGAGGAGGCATTGATTCCATTGCCCAATTTTCCGGCTTGTTTGAGCAGAGGGACAACTGGAGAAGGAACCAGGTCAATTTCAAATGATAGGAATAGCAATTGTTGAACTAGCCCAGCGCGATCCTATTAAAAAAAAAAAAAAAAAAAAAAAAAATATATATATATATATATATATACACACACACACACATATACATATATTAGGCAAACCGCATCTGTAATTTAAAATTTTCTAGTAACTACATTCATTCATAAAAACTTTTAATGTATAAAATTAATTTTAGTACTTTCTTAATCCCAATAGATCCAATTATAATTTCTACATGTATCACACATTACAATTTATTAACAGGATAGCTCCCATCATCTGTCCACACTGCATCTTCCAGTACCAGAATGCGCTGTACTTACAACACATCTCGGATGGGACCCGCCATACTTCAAGGACCCTGCAGGCCTGTGGGCTCGGGTAACCACACTGGGCAGCACGGCCCTACGCTCTGCCTCTCCTTCCAGCCTCCTCCCTTCATCCCCTGCTCCTAATGGGAAATGGTCTACTGT